TAGCCGGGTGTTTAAGCGCCTGTGGTCCTGGCTATTCAGGAGGCTGGGGCAGGAGAATCGCCTAAGCCTAAGAGTTGGAGGTTGCTGTGAGCTGTGACACCATGCCACTCTACCTAGGGCAACATAATAAGAATCTTTCCAAAAAAAAAAGAAAATTGCTGCTATTAATATGTGTAAGTGTTTTTTTGTGTGGATATATGTTTTAATTCTCTTAAGTATATAACTGAAACTAGCATTTCTGGGTATTAGGCTGTTAACTTTTTAAGGAATTGCCAAGGTTTTCTAAAGTGGCTGTATCATGTAACAGTCCCCCAGCAATGTATGAGGCATCTAATTTTAGCACATCCTATTACATTGTGATTGTTGTCTTTTTTATTATAGCCACTATAGAAAGTATAAAGTGACATTTCATTGTTGAGTTGCAGTTTCCTAATGATTGGTGATATTAGGCATCTTTTCATGATCTTATTGAGCTTTTGGGTATCTTCTTTTTTTTTTTTTGAGTTTCACTTACTGCCCTCTGTAGAGTGCAATGGTGTTACACAGCTCACAGCAACCTCCCAGCTCCTGGGCTTAGGTGATTCTCTTGTCACAGCTTCCTGAGTAGCTGGGACTGCAGGCACCTGGCACAGTACCTGGCTGTTTTTTTGTTGCAGTTTGGCTGGGGCTGGGTTTAAACCTGCCACCCTTGGTATATGGGGCTGGCGCTCTACCTACTGAGCCACAGGTGCTGCCCACTTTTGGGTATCTTCCTTGAAGAAATGTCTGTTTAAGTCTTTTGCTTGTTTTTTTTTTTTTTTTTTTTGGAGACAGAGTCTCATTATGTCGCCCTCGGTAAAATTCTGTGGCATCACAGCTCACAGCAACTTCAAACTCTTGTGCTTAAGCGATTCTCTTGCCTCAGCCTCCCAAGTAGCTGGGACTACAGGTGCCTGCCACAACGCTCGGCTATTTTTTGGTTGTAGTTATTGTTGGTGTTTGGCAGGCCCAGACTGGATTCGAACCCGCCAGATCCAGTGCATATGGCTGGCACCCTAGCCGCCAAGCTACAGGCGCCAAGCCCTTTTGCTTGTTTTTTAATTGGGTTATTTGTCTTCTTATTGTTTTTGTATATGATTTGCGATAGGGAGTCTAACTTCATTCTTTGCTTTGTGTATATGTTCACTTGTCCCAGTACCATTTGTTGAAGAGACTATTCTTTCCTCATTGAATTCTCTTGGCATCCTTGTCAAAAATCCTTTGAGCAGAAATGTAATGGCTTATTTCTATACTTTTTTTTTTTTTGAGAGAGAGTCTCACTTTGTCACCCTAGGTAGAGTTCTGTGGGGTCATCATAGCTCATAGCAACATATAACCTCAAATTCCTAGGCTCAAGTGATCTGCTTGCCTTAGCCTTCGAAGTAGATGGAACTGTAGGTGCCTGCCACTATGCCCAGCTAGTTTCTCTATTTTTAGTAGAGATGGGTCTTGATCTTAGGTTGGTCTTGAATTCCTGAGCCCAGGTGATCTACCCTCTTCGGCCTCCCAGAGTGCTTAGGATTACAGGCGTGAACCACCTTGCCCGGCTCATATTTGGTCTTTTCTTTCTTTCTTTCTTTTTTTTTTTTTTTTTT